GTAAACTTTCAACCAATACGAAATGAAATTTAAATATAATATAAAAAAGACAGCAGTATTTTTTTATTGCTCAGATGGCCAGATTTATTGCTCAGATGCCAGCTCAAGACACACCTGGTTAAAGCCGCCACCCATCTCGAGTCACGAGTTCTAAGTCTCAGTTCTTATATACAGCACAACGGCTGCCACACCCTTCAAATCAAAACGCATTACTGCTTCACGGCACAAATCGGCAGGGCCTAGCCATGCGGGTTCACAAGACGTCCTCATCATCATCATCATCATCAACAGCCCACAGTCCACTGCTGGACATAGGCCTCTTCCAATCTACATCACTGAGCCCGGTCTACGGCTCTCCTCATCCCCTTCTTGCCGGCCACCGTTCGTTTTATTACTGGTGGTAGGACCTCTTGGGAGTCCGCACGGGTAGGTACCACCGCCCTGCCTATTTCTGCCGTGAAGCAGTCATGCGTTTCGGTTCGAAGGGTGGGGCAGCCGTTGTAACTATACTGAGATCTTAGAACTTATATCTCGAGGTGGGTGGCGCATCTACGTTGTAGATGTCTATGGGCTCCAGTAACCACTTAACACCAGGTGGCCTGTGAGCTCGTCCATCCATCTAAGCAATAAAAAAAAAAGGTCATCGCACCACCTAGTCAGGGGGCGTCCCACGTTACGTCTTCCGCTGCGCGGTCTTCACTCGAGAGCCCGTCTGCTCCAGCGATCGTCAGTCCTACGGCATATATGGCCAGCCCACTGCCACTTCAGCTTGCGTTCTACCACAAGTAAAACCCAGTAATTTACCTATCCACTATTTATATTAACTAACCTCGTCGACGCTCATAATTAAGACATGTTTTAATCAATTTCTTTGTGACATCCAAGTTTATTCTCAGTTATCAGTATTTTGTTCGAAAACTGGTATTTTTCCTTAGAATGTTCCATAGCAACAAACAAGGTATATTTTAACTATTTACTTTTAAAATTTACAGATTGTCACTGATAATTAGCCTATTTGTGGCTCTTAAAATTAGTTCAATTTAATTGACTATTTGCATATACCAAAAACGAAAGTATTTAAATTAATTACATATCCGAAACCTAATTGAGTAAGATAATTACAATCTTGATACGGATTCTCGGTGAATTCTGCGACTGAAACAAAACGTTTAGAAGTGCGCTATGCTAAAACGTACTTTGAAACGAATTTTAAGATATTGTATTTCAGTAGTGAAAATTTAAGTGTTGATTATGACGGTCCAAACGCTAAATTGTGTTTGGAAGCAATATATGAGCGCTGCAATACGTAAGTACCAACTTTAATTTTCCTACCTAAGCCTTGAGAGACTATGCCAGCGTAACCTAGCGAGTAGGTGAACTCTCGGGGCTCAAACCTGGGGGCGAGGCTAACACTAGCCCTAGCAAGATCAGTGCTTCGCAGAATCTACTGCCAGATCGGAAACTCGACACACTTCACACCGGCGAGAAACTCAGTGGGCTATGTAAGTCCAATTCACTCTTAAATTTCACTGGTGAAGGATTTGTAATAAAAATCAAACCCGCAAAATTATAATTTGTGTTATTAGCGATGTTAGGACGTCTTATGAGTCCGCATTGGTTGATACCACCGCCCTGCCTATTTCTGCAGTGAAGCAGTAATGCGTTTCGGTTTGAAGGGCGGGGCAGCCGTTGTAACTATACTGAGATCTTTAGAACTTATATCTCAAGGTGGGTGGCGCATTTACGTTGTAGATATCCATGGGCTCCAGTAACCACTTAACACCAGGTGGGCTGTGAGCTCGTCCACCCATCTAAGCAATAAAAAAATATAAAAAAATACAATCCATGTCCCAAGTACGGTGGTGACATTTACGATGTAGACCTTGTAGGCCTCAATTAAAAGCTATAAATTTGTATGTTTTTCCAGTAAACATAATTCAAATGGTGAATGGCTTCAGCGTTTCATGGTCTGCTTCCATGGTTCTGAAGCTCATCGACGCCAAGACGACACCACTGTCTCGTGTTGCCACTGAGACTGAAGTAGTCTTGATCACAAATATCATGTTCATTGGTATTGTCGGTGGGTATTATTATTAATTGTACCATTGTAGCCAGACACAATGTGAATTCCGTCATTAACTTCAATACATAAGGTCCAAGTAGCAAATTTGCTGCGTAACGTGCATGTTTTATTGTAATTTGCGAAGAGCATCAAATACCAGAGACACCGTAGTAGCGTATCAACCTTTTACGGTAGGCAGCGGCTTGGCTCTGCCCCTGGCATTGCTGAAGTCCATGGGCGACGGTAACCACTCACCATCAGGTGGGCCGTATGCTCATCTGCAAACAAGGGCAATAAAAAAAAAAACAGCAATTACATATTGATAGATATTTTTGTACAGAAATCATGCTTGGTTCGTTTGAGAAATATCTAAGACTCTAAGATTATTCCGAGTCAAAAACTTATGAGTTCATTTGTGAATCCTCACGAGGAGGTACCAACCACTGTGTTTATTTTTTTCGGTTTTGCGTGAGACACAGACAAAAATAAATCTACTATTACGTTTTTATATTAACGTCACGTTTAACATTTTTTTATTGACCATCATAACAGAATATTCAAATTTGTTGTAATTGTGTAATATTGTTGTAGTATTTTTAAAACTAACTAAAAAACCCGCATGATTAGCAAACCGAAGTAATAACTAATTTCAATTTTTTTTGTCTCGTGTATACTGGTCATTATATTAGAACAAAGTTATAAAGTTATTGTTTTGTCATCGGTACTCGATGCGCATGAAAATTTTCAAATAAAACGAACGTATTGGAGTCGGTGAAAACGACGTTTATAGACTGCGTTGCATACCAAGAAATATGCGTACAAACTAAATTAATAAAAGTGTGTGTAAGTAAACCATTGTTATAATAACCGGCAAACTTCTTGAGCATTTGTTGACGTAGTGGGGGTAAGTTTGCGCATGGTACACTCACGTGCAAAAACATTACTTACTCTGCGTCATAATGCTATTAAATTATTAAAATCAACATATGTATTTATTTATATATTTATTAGAACATCAACAAAACATATAGGTTAATAATTGTAATAATTTATTTCTTGGGGTAAAATAGATATTCCTTCTATTAAGTCAAAACTAGAGCTGTTGCCAGGTCTTGGTTCAGTTGAAGCAAAGCTGGTATTTGTAATTTTTTTTTCGTTATCATAATCTTGACCATCATCATCATCACTGTTTTCATCACCAGAGTCGCTACTATCGTGATGAGTCGACATAGGGCTCATCGGCGTAGTTTACAACTCGGTCGATTCGGTCTTCTTTTTTGTCTATAATTAATTATTTTTTGAAGATATTCGATTCGTAGTAATCGAATGTTACTTTTTTCATTTACCAGCTTCCGATTATTTTCTGTTCTTTTTTTCCATCTGAAGCCTAGCTCTTTCATAATTCGTCGTAAGCTTCATTCCGAGCCATTAAAATTTATATCTTCTTTAAATTTTTCGAAGCCTTTCTACGGTACGGAGTTTCGCTGCTTGTTATGTAGTTATTATGATTACATCTTTTTATTACAGATTGAACGAAACTATCCATTCCGGTAACTTTCTTCTTCCCTGATCTTTTCTTACCCGGAGTCCGAAACACGGCGAGCAAGCCAGAGCCTTTAGCTTCGTTAATAATGCACCTAACAGTACTCACTGATGTTTTTGTTGCTTCCGAAGTCTGTTTTAATTTTTCCATATCATTCTTCCCCTGTTTTATAATGAAGCAATATACGTCGTACACAAATTTTCTACCCTTTCTTTTAAGTACTACACCAGTTTGTCACGGCATAGTGTATGTTTTATAAAAAATCAACAAACACTCAACAAATAGCAATGGCAACAAAGTCCACAAGCAATTATAACAAATAACTTAACGATTAATAACGATAGACTTTCCACTGTACGCAAGCGTACTTTTGGAAGCAAGCGGAATGAGGGCGCGGTGCGGGACGCAAGGTTCGACTGATCTACCAATAACGCGCTCGATACGATTTCCCCTGCCGTCGCGCCTCACCCTCACCACCAAAGTGATCTAAAATTCGGTTCTGCGCAGTCAAGGTCATTTGCTCAAGAAGTTTGCCGATTACTATACGCACTGGGGTTCGGGATAAATACTTATAATTCTACCGTATTACAACTTAACACTGTATTCAAGTCGTCGTGGCCTAAAGGATAAGACGTCCGGTGCATTCGTATCTATCGATGCACCGGTGTTCGAATCTCGCAGGCGGGTACCAATTTTTCTAATGAAATACGTACTTAACAATTGTTCATGATTGACTTCCGCGGTGAAGGAATAACATCGTGTAATAAAAATCAAACCCGCAAAATTATAATTTGCGTAATTACTGGTGGTAGGACCTCTTGTGAGTCCGCACGGGTAGGTACCACCGCCCCGCTTATTTCTGCCGTGAAGCAGTAATGCGTTTCGGTTTGAAGGGTGGGGCAGCCGTTGTGACTATACTGAGACCTTAGAACTTATATCTCGAGGTGTGTGGCGCATTTACGTTGTAGATGTCTATGGGTTCCAGTAACCACTTAACAACAGGTGGGTTGTGAGCTCGTCCACATATCAAGGCAATAAAAAAAAAATAAAAAAAAAATTCAACACTTAGAACACTTAAAACACTCAAAAAACACTTTAAAACTCTTCTTTAAACTTTTAAAACACTTTAAAATTCGCTTCTTCCGCTTCGCTTCAGGTGATCCGTTCGTTGTTTCGCTTCGAATAGTTCCGATTGCTGACTGACTGCGTGCCATCTCTGCAACGCTTTTATAGCCGATATCACATCGCTAGAATTATCGAGAAAATTCCACACAAGTCGAGTATTGTGTTTCCGCTATCTGACAATAGATGGCGTTATACTTCTCGAGCGTTCTAGATCCTACTAGATCCTTCGACATTCGTTTGACTATTCGGCGAGAGATGGCGTTACTCTTACCGGCGTAACACTATTAATCAAAGCTTAATGTCATTTTCCAGGCGCATACGTGTCCAGTTACTTATCAAATCATATTGGTCGTAAATATTGTTTTATACTTGGCGGGTTTATTTATTGTTTTTCGTATTTAATATTAACTTTGGCGGTGTCTACAAGTATGATAATTGCTGGACGTCTCCTCGTCGGCTTCAGTTTGGGCTTCATACAAATACTCATTTATATATATGTCGGAGAGATTGCGTAAGTTCTTTCACTGTTCTTGTGTACTATAAAATTACAAATCATCTGTACATAAAATCTGTAAATTACACATTATCATAAAATTACAAATCATTGGTGGTAGGACCTCTTGTGAATCTGCACGGGTAGGTACCACCACCCTGCCTATTTCTGCCGTGAAGCAGTAATACGTTTCGATTTGAAGAGTGGGGCAGCCGTTGTAACTATACTGACACCTTAGAACATAGCTCAAGGTGGGTGGCGCATTTACGTTGTAGATGTCTATGGGCTCCAGTAACCACTGAATACCAGGTGGGCTGTGAGCTCGTCCACCCATCTAAGCAATAAAATAAAACGATCTGAATATAAAATGGTATTTCAAATCGAAATTTGAATAACTCGGCAAGAGTTGAATCAACTCTTGAAGATTTCTGGTGTTCAACTGATGACAAATGCTTTATAGATTGGCAGGTAGTAATTAGTATCTCCATAAGCTTTATCTAATAAAAGTCGATTATCACATAGATATACTTATTAATACTGTGTTAAAATATATACATAAATGATTTCTTAAAACCAAACTTATATTTAATGTAAATGTTTATTATATTTAGTAGCTATATATTTATTTATAAGTGGGAAGATCAGAACTTTTTGGTTAATTCACACTGGCACACGAGTTTTATTTTTATAAGAAGAAAATATAACTGACAGATATAAAATTGACAGAACGATGTTACAAAGGTGTATGTAGTATTTTTTTGAAAGAATAAAAGATTTTGTTGTTAAACTAAATATCCACTAAATTTCGCCATACCATCCCACATCTTTTTGGGGGCTCGTCCGGGATACCATTCAGGATACCGTTCAGGATGTCGATCGGTGATAAATCACTGTGGATTGACGAATTTCTACAGAGATAAGTTGTAGGCAACCTGTGCATTTTCGTTGTGCATTCAAGACTTGGAGACGTGTAAAAATAACGATTTTATGATGAAGTATTATTGATGAAGTTTTGTGTAAAGTTATTTTATGCAGACTTATTATGAAGATTACATAAGATTATTTACTGAAGATTACTTAAGAAGAAGACTGATTTTGAAAATTGTTATTAACGACTACTACGACTATTTACGAGTTCAACGAGACGATTATCTTCTTTTTTTGCATAAACTATATTCCTAAAGTAAAAAATGCCTCCTAAGAAGAATAATGATAATGACGAAAGAGTAGACGTTGAGGTGCATATCTCGTTTCGTGATTTGGAGCAGTCCATGACACCTTTCACCGGAGATGATACTTTTTTTTTTTTTTTTTTCCACAGGAGAAAATCGCCAGATCCCCACCCGCGCGGCAGGTGGGGTATGTGGGAGTTGAACCTCACTAAAAACTCCTGCCGCTCACAACCGGCGCCCTACCTCGGACCGGGCCGGAGCCCAGTCGGGGCTATTGAAACGGCGGGACAGGGTTGACGCAGAGCACATTACATCCATCCCACCGTCCCACGGACGCCGGACCGGTGGCCGCCAGCGAAACGACCACCGGTTCCCTCGTTCAGCGGGCCGAGAGCCCGCTTTGATGGCGCCGCGTTACACCTTCCCCCAGAGCGGTCGGGGGAACGCGGTCTACCATCACCCGGCTTCCTATTGCGGGTGAGCGTGCAGAGCACGCCACCCCTCGTCTGGGTCCCTCCCCGCACAAAACGGGTGGGACCCCTAGCTCTTAGGGGGCCAGGTCACGGATACGACCCCGGTCCCGACCCCCTGCTCGGCGGCGGCGGGTTTCTGCGTAGTGAGGAGAGCTTTCCCTCACTCGCCCCGCCGCCTCCTTCTGCGAGATGGTGCACTCGCAGAAGTCGAGCATAGCCTTCCATGACTCATCGCTGCCAAGCATCGACGCCACGACGCCAGGCAGCGACAAGTCAGGTCCTATCTTTGCGACCAGGACACGGCGCTGCACCTCCCAAGCGGGGCAGACAGCGAGCGTATGCTCCGCCGTGTCCAGGTCGTGTCCACACCGGAGATGATACTTACCTGATTTCGGAGTTTTTTTATGAATTTGAAGATGTTGCTGATTTGATGAAATGGACTAAAGTGGAAAGATTGATCTATGCAAAGAAACTTTTGGGTGGAACAGCAAAGCTATTTTTAAGATCTGTTGGTAGAGTTAAAGACTATCCTACTTTGAAGGAAGCCCTTATTGAAGAATTTGGCCCTAAGTTTAATAGTGCTAAGATTCACAAGAACCTTATTTCACGAAAGATTAAAAATGATGAAACGTTACAACAATATTTTTTAGTTATGAAAGAAATAGCACTGCATGGAAGAGTAGATGTTGCTGCTTTAATGGTATACCTCATAGATGGTATCAATGATCCTGAATCTAACAAAGCAATTTTATATGGAGCTACAGATTTGAAAGATTTTCGTAAAAAGCTAGACATCTACAGTGATTTTCGAAAAAAGTTGGACGTTTACAGTGATCTTCAGAAGAAAATGAGTACACTATCGTATCACCAGGTAGTTCCGCAAGTAAATACAGATGCAGGGATAACGTCATTAAGAAAACCGCATTTTAAAAGATGCTACAACTGTGGTGATTTAGACCATCAATCCCCCAGCTGTACAAAGGGCATTAAATGCTTTGAGTGTAATGAATTCGGTCACAAGGGAAACGAGTGTAAGAATGAAGCTAAGAAGTCTTTAATTATTCAGAAGAAAAATGAAGAAGAAAAAATCCCTTACAAGAAAGTGTTATTGAATGGAACAGAGATGGTGGCTTTGATCGATACAGGTAGTGACGCGAATCTAATTATACAATCAGAATTAAAAAAAAATTAAAATAATATCCAACATTATGACAAGAATTCAGAAGTTCGTCTTACGGGTATTGCTAACAAAGAAATACTTATCAAAGGTGTTTTTACTACTCCGCTACAGATTGATGATGCTGTTACGGATATCAAATTTTACATTGTGGAAGATGATATAACACCTGTAAAGCTGATCATTGGCAACCCCATACTGCGTGAATTCGAAGTTAAGTTTACAAGAAATGGTATTGTAATGGAGAAGATACCACTTTGTGCTATTGTTGTTAAGAAGGACGAGGTCAAAGAAGACTACAAGAAATTAAAAAAAGAAGATTACAAGAAGTTAGAGAAAGAAGATTACAAGAAGTTAGAGAAAGAAGACTGCAAGAAGTTGGTTAAAGTACCTTACCAGAATCATTTGATACAAAATAGAATACTGTACAAAGAGAAGAATGGAAATAGACTTATCGCTGTACCAAAGAAGATGGATAAAGAAATTAGAAGAGAGAATTATAGGAGAGGACGACTAAAAGTTGAAGATTGGGAATGGAGGAGGTCCGATACATACGACTAGTCTTGCTAATTTTATCAAACTATGGATTGATTCGTCTGAGGCAAACGAATAGGTAGGAATGGCCGAGTAGGAAGATCAGAACTTTTTGGTTAATTCACACTGGCACACGAGTTTTATTTTTAAAAGAAGAAAATATAACTGACAGATATAAAATTGAAGAACGATGTTACAAAGGTGTATGTAGTATTTTTTTTGAAAGAATAAAAGATTTTGTTGTTAAACTAAATATCCACTAAATTTCGCCATACCATCCCACATATATTTGTATATATACATGTGTGTTTGTGTTATTATATGTTATATATTTTTAATCGGTAAATACACTGCAGTTAATTTATTTTCTTCATTTGGCAGAGATCAATCACTCTTATGGACAACACTGGTCTTTTTGTCTTCTAAGTTTTCTTTTTATTCAACTATATAACTATACGCTTGTTATTTTAGATCACCAAATATTAGAGGAATTGTTATGACGTCATTGAGCATTTTCCAATGCACGGGATGTTTGATCGGCTTCTGTTTGGGTCCGTACCTCTCCTACCTCCAGTTTGGATTCGTGCCTATAATTTTAATAATAATATTCATTGCGCTCAGCTTCTTCTTGAACGAATCTCCAGTGTATTTTGTTATTAAAGGTAGGTATGTTTTTATTTTAACATACCCTCACATAATAATAAATAATAGTTTAAAAAAACTAAAAAAATACACTTTTACAGAAAATCTAACTAAAAAATAGAAAATAAATTTAAAAAAATTTGAATTAAAGATAGTGTAAGAAAAAATGATTTTATTGTAAAAAAAGCGTGGGGTGCTTTTCAGGGTATTATCAAAATAACCCGTCTACTCATATCTGTTCGTAAAATATTTATAGCTACTGATACCATGCACCTCACGCTTTTTTAGACTTTTAAAACTTTAGTTTTTTAAACTATTATTTATTTTTAATTTTTTGGTTGAATTTCAATTTTTAAAATTTTTTATAGTATTGAATTGTCATCGATCCTTAATAAGTATACCAAATTTCCAGTTAATCCGACGTTTTTAATGGGGTCAAAATCATGTTCAAAGATTCCGTTACATACTAACATACATACGTCTGAAGCTAATAAAAGCGTATTAATAATCGATAAGAAACTTAACTTTATGCTTCATAATCTTAAACCACAACCGAGAAATAAACTGAAATAGCTTTTTATGATTTGAGAAGACTAACAGAAAAGCGTTTCCAATTATCGTTCAATTATAAATAGTTGAACAAGCAAATAGTGTTATAGCTGTAAGTTTAATTAGTAATTACATTCAATTTACTGGTGGTAGGATCTCTTGTGAGTCCGCGCGGGTAGGTACCACCGCCCTGCCTATTTCTGCCGTGAAGCAGTAATGCGTTTCGGTTTGAAGGGTGGAGCAGCCGTTGTAACTATACTGAGATCTTAGAACTTATATCTCAAGGTGGGTGGCGCATTTACGTTGTAGATGTCCATGGGCTCCAGTAACCACTTAACACCAGGTGGGCTGTGAGCTCGTCCACNTATTTCTGCCGTGAAGCAGTAATGCGTTTCGGTTTGAAGGGTGGAGCAGCCGTTGTAACTATACTGAGATCTTAGAACTTATATCTCAAGGTGGGTGGCGCATTTACGTTGTAGATGTCCATGGGCTCCAGTAACCACTTAACACCAGGTGGGCTGTGAGCTCGTCCACCCACCTGAGCAATAAAAAAAAATAAAAAAAAATATTTCCAGGCGACGAAGAAGCAGCCAAAAAGGCTCTAAATTACTTTGGTCGCAGCAAAGATGTAAATTACGAACTGAAAATTATGCTTCAAAATGCAAAAGAGAACGCACAAGGAAAAAGAAAATGGCTTGAACTGTTTCAGAGGAGTAACAGAAGAGCACTCCTGATTATTATTCCATTATATATAATCGAACAAGCGAGCGGTGTTATAGCTGTTATATTGAATGCAACAGCAATTTTCAAATTAGCCGGCTCATCAATTGAACCGGCAGTTGCGACCATGATAGTTGGCGTTACTAATCTGACGGGAAGCTTAATCTCGCCATTTGTCGTAGATAGGTATGGAAGGAAGGTGCTTTTGTTGTTTTCAGCAGGAGGGTGCTGTCTGGCAATGGTAAGAATAATTAGGAAATACAACTTTTGTCATGTATCAATATTAATGGGGTGACAATTTACTACGTACATTAATGTGTGCTAATTTTTTAAAATTGCTTATATGGGTTGATGAGCTAAAGGCCCATCTGCCGTTGTTAAGAGGTTACCGGTGCCCATGGACATCAACAACGTAAATACCGCTACCCATCTTGAGGCAAAAGTTTTGTCTCAGTTATAGTACAACGCCTCCTCCCACCGTGCAAACCAAAACGCATTGTTGCTTCATGGCAGAAATAGGTAGATGGTGGTACCTGCCCTTGTGGCCTCCCAATACGCCCCAAGAAAATTTGTATTGAAATACTTACTTGACAAATGCCCATGAAGACTTTTACGATATTATAAGTCAAACCCGCAAAAATCATAATTTGCGTAATTACTAGTGGTAGGACCTCTTTTGAACCTACACAGGTAGACGCTAATATTCGGTCTGTTTTATATTATGATATCTATATACTCCGTTAATTATTAAGCATCAGGTGGGCCGTTGGTTGGTTCACGCGTCTACGAGATGGTTGTTCTCAAACAATTCCGTCGACTAGTAAGCTAACCATCGGGTACGGATCTAACTAGAGTACAAGTCGAACTTGATTCCGATTAGCTTATACTTTATAACTAAAAAGAACTTAGTATTCCGTGTTCTGATTGAGCCTTAGAAGTTTATTGGATGCTCAATACTGCGCAATATCGATAGCAGACATCTATTTGTCAAAACCTATTCACAAGGTTATTCGTGAAGATTTATCATCATAAACATATAATTCGTTTCGGAGATCTTAAATAATTTCCTGTTCAAATAATAAATATTCTGTTTCTTTAAGGTATCTAAATGTTTCTGGGAATTTCTTAACACCTCGCTTAATTTTTTTTCAGACTGCTTTAGGAACTTATTTTTACTTTCGACAAATGTTTCCGGAGTCTGTTGGATCCCTGGGCTGGTTACCGCTTACTGCTTTAGTCGCAGCTCTGTTTACGTACAGCGTTGGTAAGAATTTACTAAATTTTGAAGCATAAATTTGAAATTGTAAAGAAAAAAATATTTAAATATGTATTTTTCGCGAAACTGTCCTCATTTACTACACTAATTATTTCCGCGACGAAGGAGCAATCCAAATACGATACAATTGAGACTTGGGTAGACTGTGAGCTGTCCACTCTTCTACGGACTTTCTTCGCTATAGTTTGTTTTCTGTTATGGATCAATTGTGTATGGTATTGTAGAGGCTTCATCAGCTTCATCAGGACGTGTCTAGGATTTTGACCGTACTGTGTGACCTAGGTCAGGGGTGTAATTAGTGACAGCCATAACAAGGTACTGTGTCGCGAAGTACCCTTTTGTTGCTAACTTCTTATACTTGCGGATGCCTTCGTGGCTTACGTCATCAGGAAGATCTACGTTCCTTACATACCACGGCGCTTAAGCAGCTTACCAAAAGAAGCGTGGTTATAAGATTTTAAGGCGTAAATGAAATGAAGATAATATTTAATTTACAATGGCACTGCTGAATATTTTGCTCATGGAGAAATGAACTTGAATATATACTTCGGTACATAACTTGTGGTCCCAATAAACGTTGTTATCGATAAACATTTCTGCCAAAGAACATGTCGTTTCATTACTGTAAAATGAAACCATGAAGTTTTTCGTTTCTTTTTCCTATGATATCCTTAAAATAATTATGGAACTTTATTGGTTTGCTTATGTCAATGTTAAATGGTTGGATATTACCAATTTTGATGCTCTGTCTACACGACTTAGTCGCCTGTGACCGTACTCATGTGATCTTTTATAAACGACTTCTATTTTACTTTGCCAAATAAATACTTCTGATTTCAGGTCTGACAATAATACCGCACGCTCTAGCAGGAGAAATGTTTAGTCCGAAAATGCGTGGGCTAGGCACCTCTCTAGGTTTGACAGTCGCCAATGGCTCCGGTCTGATAACCACCAGCATTTATTCTTACCTAGCAGTAAACGTCGGCATCCATTACGCTTTCTGGATGTTCGCTGTCTTTGACTTGGTTGGCGTCATCTTCACCATCTATGTCGTGCCGGAGACCAAAGGAAAAAGCTTATCTGACATTAACGCTATGCTAGCAAAATAATTCTGAGTCGTGACTGGCAATAGCCAACCTTTAATTATTTTTTATTTTTTTATTGCTTTGCCTTTAGAAATAAATTAAGTAATTTCTGTATTTTTTGTACGGGCTCACAATTTTATGCACGATCTGTTTTTGCAAATTTAAATGTACTTTGTCATCGTCAAACTCATTTATGAACTAGCGAGTGTGTATACAAAGAGAATTTGATGCTTGTTCCAAAATTCAAAACTTCTGATTTAACTTCATGGTTCAATACGAGTAATTCAGATCCTAGCTTAGCTAGTTATAATCGATGACACTTATAGTGTCGATTATGTATTTAGTATCCGTATCTACAGTAAGTAAATTATGATTTTTTTTTATATTATATTAAAGTCGTATAAAAATATCTATACTTTTTCTTATCGCTCGTAACAATCTCACAAGAGGATTCATACAAACGAAATATTTACTACCTACCGTATCAAAATTTGTTGATGGGAATAGTACATACTATTTTTTCTCCTACCAGGCCGAAAGTTCGACATTATAAAAAACTTAGCACCCGTGGAGTATCGAGCCGGGGTTCAGGGGCGAAGCCCTGGCGGAGGTTGCTCGTAAAAAAAAACCGTTTAACTTTTTTTTAATTTTTAAATAAATTTAGTACTAATTGAATAAGAACTGCTTGACGAACTCATCTTTGCTTAATACTTCACTATTAAATTTTATTGCCTTTTGTTTATTTCACTTTTAGGTACACTAAACACAATATTTCAAATTACCCGAGCACAACAATGGCGGAGAATTTTAGGTGCGTGAGAGCAGACGTAGACACTAATGCGCATGCACACTTGTCAGTACCCAGGAAGGAAAAGTTAGACTTTCTTCCCTGTACAGCAGGAGGAAAACCGAACTTTCGGCGTAGGTAGGAGAAAAAATTGGTTTGAACGTCGTAATAAGTTGGGTAAGGCCCTAAATTCCTTTCCTGAGGCCCGCAGTCCGCTCTAACATCTGCGGACTGTCCAGTCCCACATATCCCGCGCGCTCTCCAGGAGCCAAGACCTCGTAGGAAGTTCAGTTCCGACCCAAAAAATCACCTATTGCTTTTGCCCCAAACACGGCCTATAGCGGCATGATAAGTTCAGGGAAGGTGTGACTGGGCAAGGACTTTTGAAGCTGAAATGTTATTTTGCAGCAAACTGAACATCATAGTTGAAGGTTTGTAAGCTGACGCTAAAATTTAGGTGTTTTTTAAATCCATTGATCTCATTTAAAATTCGTCGGTTTAGCATATCCGTGACGTCCGATATTTTAAGTATTATGCAAAAACACATCCACATAGTTCCAGGTTTTTAAGTATTTTCAGTAACATTGGAACCTGCTGGTGATAGGCTCTTGTGAGTCCGCACGGGTAGGTACCACCACCCTGCCTATTTCTGCCGTGAAGCAGTAATGCGTTTCGGTTTGAAGGGTGGGGCAGCCGTTGTAACTATACTGAGACCTTAGAATTTATATCTCAAGTTGGGTGGCGCATTTACGTTGAAGATGTCTGTGGGTTCCAGTAACCACTTAGCACCAGGTGGGCTGTGAGCTCGTCCACATATCTAAGACATAAAAAAAAAACTTTAAAAGGGAGGATTCTTCAAAGTGAATAATACATTTCCTAAAGGTTGGATTATCTAGTCAACAATACAGTAGTGGGTACGCCTGTGTCCTCGGCCATGATTCACCACGTTCGCGTGAGCAACGTCTTACAACATCGTGTTTTTAAAATTATGAAATGGAGCAACGTCAGATGACGGCCTCCAGATTATCATATTTATTTTGTCGGAACGTCTTTAGACATCTATTTTATGAACATATTCCTATGGCGCATCTACTTAGCGCCGCAACACATTCAATTTTCATAGCCTACACCGCCGCGTTCCCTAAAAAAAATCATCATAGGATGTACGTATTACGGCGAGATGTTATTAGATGTTGCTAAACTTTGTATGGGAAAAAGATGCGCCACAATAGCAATATTCAGAAATGAGGTTGCTCACGCGAATGTGTTAATCTATGTTTGTAAAACGATGTAACACAGTTTTTATTATTTGTTATCTGTTTTAGGCACATGTTTTTTTCTTTAGGCAAATGTCTGCGGAATCTCTTAGATCCCTTTTTTGGATATAATAACGGCTATATTCGAATCGCTATTTAGCAATAACGTTGCTAAGAATGTTTGTCGTATGTTTTGATAAAATATCGGAATTTAATTAAAAATGAATCATTTACTTTTACGAAGTTAGCATTAGGACTAGTGCCGTCACAGGCTGAGGTATATTTAAATTTTAATCGCAAATCCGTAACTGTATGTAAAAAAACTTTTTTAAGGGCGGATTCGACCAAACTTAAATTTAAACTCGAGTAACTATACGAGGAATAACCTATTCCATGATTTTAATCTCGAGTAAATTCATAGTCGTTTTTCCACGTATACTTGCGCTAGGAATAACAATACGCGAATAGCAGAGTGAATGGTGAACAAAAATAAAATCCGGCAAATAAATGTTGTTGTTCAACGGCATAGTGTAAGAGCATACAAATCGTCAACTCGATTTTGCCGTATTTTAGTGTGAAAAAGTAGCTGTTGTGTAAGATATCCAGCTGTCAAACGTATTATTTTTATTTCTTGTTTGTTTGAGGGAATTGTCAAGTTTTGTCGTGTGGTTTTATCTTTTTTCGTTTAAACGTTGCATTCAGACTATTAATAATCATTTAGTGCATTGCGTTGACTTGAAATTAAAACAGAATAAATATTTATGAAATGACAGAAATCAGATGTTGGACTGACAGACGCCATTACTTTATTCTAGGAATAGCTCCGTTATTCCGTGCGAAACGGCGGTATAGTAACAATTCCCGAATAGGCCCACTATTCTTAGAATTGTAGTTGGTAAAACGTAAAATTGATTTACTCTCGATTAACTGACGAGTTATTCTAAGAATAAGATTTACTCTTGTTTGGTCGAATCGACCCTAAAAGACAATATACCTGTCACATTAAATGCCTTCGTGACATTTTTTTTGTTTTTCGCGAGTCTTAGGCACGATTAAAAATAGGCAGGGCGGTGGCACTTACCCGCGCGGACTCACAAGAGATCCTACCACCAGTAAAAACTTATTATTACATCAGTTATTACATCAGTACTTGACGTGATCCACAAATTTTCCTATTTCTACTGCCAAGTAATCGCCCTGTCTATTACCTATGCAGTTTACTCCTTTTTTATGAATGAGGGCTTACTGGTGGCCTGGTGCCCTCTCCAGTTTTACCAGGATCGGTGGGCGGGCAGAGGATCAGCCAGGAGCGGTGGGACTTGCTAACAGCTGCCGGAGCGCCTCCAAAGGAGACCTAACAACTCAAGGGCAGCTGCTTTGCGAATGAATCTACGGTACGGTACGAACGAGTACGGTTACCGGGGTCCCTAAGTCTGCTCCTAGTGTTAGAGAAGTGTGCCATCAAAAAGTAATTTCTAATTCATTCCAGCCATGATCTTAGTCTTCAGTTCAGGGACCAAATAATGTGAGATTACTTGTTCGATTTAAGATGTTTGAGCAGCTGCCAAACTATAGAAAGTTTATTTAATATCAAAATTAAAATATCAAACTAAATTGTGACCAGCCTCGAACTCAGATCAGTTCTTCAGTTTAGGGACCAAATAATGTGAGATTACTTGTTCGATTTAAGATGTTTGAGCAGCTGCCAAACTATAGAAAGTTTATGTAATATCAAAATTAAAATATCAAACTAAATTGTGACCAGCCTCGAACCAGAAACCCTGGAATTTATTGAATCACCTTGGACCGTAATAACACCTGCATTCAGCAAATTTCCTTGGAATACTTTCACAAAAGTTTCTACAACAATTTGCCTCGATAAATTCTGGAGGAACCAAAACAACACGATACCAAAGAACAAAGAGAAAGATAATTCTGAGTGATTCCGAGAGTTTGAACTATAATCTAAACAAACAAACAAACAGAGTCAACACTTGTTGACTCTAAACTTAAAACTAAGCAATAATAAATTACGTAGTTAAACAAGATAATACTGGATAGGTCCTGATAAATTATCGCCGCAATAACTTAGAATATAAATCAAAATTTAACGGTGTTCAACTGTGAAAGTGCTACTAGTGTTTAATTAAACTATGATAATTTATCGTCCAATAAAAATTACCCACAAATAATTTCAGCCATTTTTTGATTTGTATATTGTTACCAATACTCAAATTGTCAAGACAGGTAATAATTATATGTATTTTTAATACGCTTTTATTAGCTTCAGACGTATGTCCGGTCACCGTCCTCGTCGAACCCGTCGCTTTCGACGAAGGGCTCGACGAGCGAATTAACCCCATAGACACAGCCCACTGAGTTTCTCGCCGGATCTTCTCAGTGGGTCGCGTTTCCGATCCGGTGATAGATTCTGCGAAGCACTGCTCTTGCTAGGGTCAGTGTTAGCAACTCTCGGTTGAGCCCCGTGAGCTCACCTACTAACGTTAGGGTGAAGCTGAAATAGCCTCTCAAGGCTATCAGCATAGGTAGGGAAAAAAAAAAGACGTATGTAGTGTGTAACGGAATCTCTGAACATGATTTTGACCCTCTTCAAAACGTCGGATTAACTCGAAATTTGGTATACTTATTATGGACCGATGATAATTCAAAATAAAAAAAATTGAAAAATAATTATTAGTTTAAAAAAACTACAAAAATACGCTTTTATAGAAAATCCAACTAAAAGAATAGAAAATAAATTTTAATAAATTTGAATTAAAAATAGTGTAAGAAAAAAATGATTTTATTGTAAAAAAAGCATGGGGTGCATGGTATCAGTAATTATAAATATTTTATGAATAGATATGAGTAGAAGGGTTATTTTGATAATATCCTGAAAAGCATTTTAATTAACAGCAAACTATTCGAAATGCTAAATGCTGTAAATTATGTTAATATTATGTAAAATATTTTTTACTGGCGGTAGGACGTCTTGTGAGTCCACGCGGGTTTGTACCACCGCCCTGCCTGTTTCTGCCGTGAAGCAGTATTGCGTTTCGGTTTGAAGGGTGGGGCAGCCGTTGTAACTATACTCGAGACCTTAGAACTTATATCTCAAGGTGGGTGGCGCATTTACGTTGTAGATGTCTATGGGCTCTAGTAACCACTTAACACCAGGTGGTCTGTGAGCTCGTCCACCCATCTAAGGAATAAAAAATATATATATACCTAAATATAAGATACATAATAAATATTATGTAAAAAAGAGGCACAATTTTTAAAAAATCCATTAATTTAACCTTTGTATCGAAAACCGTGGATGTCAGTTTTCTAACAGTATGTCTCACTTAATAAAGACATTAAGAAAACACACATATTATTATATATTTAACGCGTACACACCTACTATTTGGGAAAGATCATTTTGTTTGCAACGCTGTCTGCAGCTGCACAAATAACTCAATATTATGTTGTCTCGTGTTGTTTAAGCTTTTAAAGATAAATTAATTTGATAAAATACATAGAAACGACTTAAGCTAAGCTAACCCACTGAAATAGGCTTTATTCTATTCTAGCTTTTGCCCGCGACTCCGTCCGCGTGAAATAGTTACTTTGGTATAACGCAAAATTTTACCCCCCCACTTCATTTACGTAGAAGGTGAAAATATTTTTGAATTATAGAATGTTAAGGAGCTATTTAAACCCCTATTTCTTTATTGGTGCTCCACTTGTATTGGTCTTAGCGTGATGTTATGTAGCCTATAGCCTTCCTCAATAAATGGGCGATGTAACAATGAAAGAATTTTTCAAATCGGACCAGTACTTCCTGAGATTAGCGCGTTCAAACAAACAAACTCTTCAGCTTTATAATATTAGTCTAGTATAGATAAATATTCGAAATTAACTAGTCTCGTATCATTCGGTTATGGAAAAATAACTTCGAAAAATATCTTTCACAATAACGTTGACTTTCAAGTTTGAATCGAAGTGGGACCTCTTGGCACAATTCACGTGGCCACCGTCAAATTGATACTATTTTTTTTTTATTGCTTAGATGGATGGACGAGCTCACAGCCCACCTGGTGTTAAGTGGTTACTGGAGCCCATAGACATCTACAACATAAATGCGCCACCCACTTCGAGATATAAGTTCTAAGATCTCAGTATAGTTACAACGGCTACCCCACCCTTCGAACCGAAACGCATTACTGCTTCACGGCGGAAATAGGCGGGGTGGTGGTACCTACCCGTGCGTACTCCCAAGAGGTCCTACCACCAGTGAAAAAAAACAATAACATTGAAAAATATTTTCGCTAATACTCACAGCGATCCCAATGTCGCTTAGGAAGAAAATATTGCCGGCAAGTTCAACAAAGACTTTGTGGGTCATCGTAACATGATTTATTTATTTCAATAACAATTGTGTCTTTTAATTTATGTGGTTATTAACATACAAACAAACAAACTAGTTTTCATAATACATAACTAGTACAATCTAGCGGATTGGACTGTTCCAATTTGAACACGCTTCAATTAGCTTGACACGTACATATTATTATATGTAAATATTATGTACCTACAATTATTATTATATTTTAAGGATGTAACAGAATTTTTAAACGTCATTTTCACCGACTTTAAGACGATTGATTAAAACGTGAAAATTTACAAACAATTCGATGACAATACAAAATATAACTTCGAATTTATAAATATATTATAAAATAAAATAATTTTATGATTTCGCTCTAATAAGCCAAGCGTAAAAAACGTGATAAAAAAAAGATGAAAAATAATTGTACATTTGGTTTGCTATTTAAGTATATGGTTTTTATAGTCGATATATTATTTAATTGTCAACCTGATGAAATTTGCGTAATTGCTATATACAACTGAAATCCTGAATCTCTAGGTACGTGGGTTCTGCAGATATGGGGTGGGTGCCATCATGTTGTAATAGCTTGATATCTTCGGTACCATTAGGGAGGGCTATGAGCTGATTCACCCATCCAGGCAATAAAAAAGGATTCAACTCAGGTCGTTCATTCCACCGGGCGTCTTACTGTTGGGTCACGGATATTTCTAAAGATGTTTTTTTCGGAAACAAGATACTCATTAAGTATACATACACATAATGCAAGTGATACTTTTAGTATAAAAGGTAATTAGCTCAAACGAAGCATACCTCCCTCCAATGGAAGACACAATTTTTTTTTAAATTTTTTTTTTCTACCTATTCTAGTTACCTCGAGGTGTTATTCTTGATTCAACGAACTAGTAGGTGAGCTCGCGGGTCTCAAATCTGACGTTGTTGCTGACATGAACCCCAGCAAGAGCAGTGCTTCGCAGAATCTACCACCGGATCGGAAACGCGACCCACTGAGAAGATCCGACGAGAAACTCAGTGGGCATAATACCGTGGTACGGCACTAACAATTCTTATACAATTAAAATATGACGAACATACAGAATCCTTATCCTAGCTGTAAATATATGCAGTAACATATTTCTATTCTATTTAGTAAAACAGAATAAAAGAAAACGTCAGTACAACAAAAGAAATTTCTATAAAATATTTCACTTTAGAAATGAAAGATTAAAAACAAAGCCGCCGTTCATTTGTGAGTGCCATTTGAATGTGAAACAAGTTTTTCTTGATAATTTTTAATAATGTTTATTTTACCCAGACGACATATATTCAGACAATATCTATTAGTGGTAATAGGTGAGAATTTTTTGTTACTTTTAGAAGTGAAATTTGCGTATTTTGTTGTTTATTTTATGTTTTATAGATCGCTCTTGCTTATTTATTTATTTATTTAGTTGCACCAACAAAGTGATCCTCAATAAAAACATTGAAAAATTGATATTAAGTACATGACAGATGTCAGCTCAATTATATGTGCAACCGACAGTGCAATAGCTAACAACATCTTGAAATTAGAAAAATAAGATTAATTTCATGATGTCCATCTGTCCGGATATCAAAGATATTGAGCTCTCATGCTATTTTAAAGATGAAATTTTAAGAATTTATTATTATTAAATAAAACTCAAGATGGATACCGCACCGGCTCCTTCGGAGCGGCGTGGGTGCTGACCGGGGCATCATCCTGGGACCTGGAGGCGGAATCGTTTGCCGAGGATTACGTGTGACGTACAAGCGACCTCCGCTCTAGGAGGGAAACGGCGCCCCAGTGAAGTAATGATTTGAACGCAGAGGCTCCAATTTCGGAGGTCCGTGCTGGAGGAGTGGTCTCGCCGTTTGGCGAACTCGCCCTACGGCTTACCGACTGTCGAGGCAGTCCACCCGGTCCTTACAAACTGGGTGGACGGTGGTGCTCACCGGCCACGATTTTCCGGCGGTATTTCCCCCGTAGGAAACCGAAGGAAAAATGCTCAAAATAGCTCAGAAAAATGACAATAGCTCTCATGTCATCTGTTTTACGATATGCATACCAAATGAGCCAATAAGAGAATTTGACTTTGGTCACTGGCCATTTTGATTCCAGCGAATTTAAGCATCTTGATATACGGATTACTTCAAGTCTGGACCTCGTCCGTATTGGTTAAAATAAACAAGGATAGTTCAGTATTCTCGGAGGCTATAACGGAAACTGAGGCGTCTTGGATGGTCTCATCCTTTTTCGTTGCACCCTGTTTATGTAAGTACAATTCAATTAATTTACAAAAATATCATTATTCAGAAACAATAAACTAATCTTATATTGTTGGTACACTGAAAAATCTGTATTATATTGTTACGCGCTGGGATTCGGGATAAATAAACGTTCCACCAAAGTACAAATGAACACTGTATTAGCACTTAAAACACTTCACAAACGCTTTAAAATTCTCAATTTACTTCTTCCACTTCGCTTCAGGCGATCCGATCGCTGTTTCGCTTCGAGTAGTTCCGATTACTGACTTGCTTGCCATCTCTGCAACGCTTTTATAGTCGATACGACATCCCTAGAATTGTCGAGAACATTCCTCACAAGTCGAGTATTTTCGACTTTCCACTATCTGACAATAGATGGCGTTGTACTTCTCGTGCGTTCTAGATGTTACTAGATCCTTTGACATTCGTGTCGGTTATTCGACGATAGATGGCGTTACTCTTACCGGCGTAACAATTTATTTTTATTGCCCTTGCCCATGTAGGCAGATGAGTATACGGCCCACCTGATGGTGAGTGGTTACCATCGCCCATGGACTTCAGCAATACCAGGGGCGGAGCCAAGCCGCTGCCTTCCGTTATAATACCATTATAAACAATATTGAATTCAATCATAAAATTTCATGTTAGTACCAAAACCTGGCTACTGATGTCCATAGACAAGAATTATGTAAATGCCGCCACCCAGCTTAATATATAAGTTCTAAGTCTCAGCTTTATAATACCTACAAACCGAAACGTACTAATTCAAGGCATAAATAGGTTGAATGGTGTTACCTATCCGCGCGGATTCACAAGAGGCCGTAACACAAGTAAAAATCATCGAATGTGTGGTATTTTTTCAATTTCAGTAACCGGCCCAGCAGCCTACGTAATAGATCGCTTTGGTCGTAAACTAGCTCTTGTTATGAGCTATGTAACGCCCCTGTGTGCGTGTTTTTTATACATTTTCGGGACAAAGATATGGATGGTAATCATAGGCAGATTCTTGTGTGGTATCGGTTTGACAATCGCTTTCATAGCTGTCCCTGCCTATACTGCTGAGATTGCTAGTGTGAGTATAAAAAACAACATTCATAAAAACATATATATGGCAAGCATATGTATATTTTAGGCAGACGTGCATACAGCTTACCTGATGGTGAGCAGTTACCGTCACTCGTGGATATCAACAATATCAGGGGCAGACCGAAGCCGCTGCCCACCTCATAAGTCTTTTAAAACACACATACAGTACCAGGCAATAAATATTGCACACCGATACTTAGAAAGAGACAGCCGCCTAATTTTGTTTTTGTTGTAGAAAGTTACCTGTGTGTGACAAAACACTAACGATCCGGTATCTACGGAGACTAAATGTCAATTAAGTAACGTGTGATAGATATAACGCTCTATCAAGCAAAACTTAACCGTCTAACCGAAGTCTAAGCAATATTCCATCATTCCTAGTCATACGTCAAATTAAGAAGCTGGATTATTTCGATTCATTGACGTAAAAAAATTTCAAGATTCATTTTGTTATGCGGTTTGATCTTTCATAAAAAAATTATTGCTTAGATGGGTCTACAAGGTCACGGCCCGCCCGGTGTTACGTGATGACCATAATCCAGATATCAGCAACATACATAAATGACGTCACTCAATCGCCCAGTTCAATTCTATCAATTTTATATTAGCGACTGTCCCGCACTGTTTCACGGCAGAAATAGACGGGTTGTGCTATTTAGCCGTGCGGGCTCACGAGATACCCTACCCCCAGCAATGGTCAGGGGAAGGGCGATGGGAGAAATGCACTCCGCACTAGACGCTTCACTCTCCCCCTTTGCCTTATCATGAGTTCTGTCCCTTGCGAGGTTTGGACGTATGTTCGACTCTGACGCGCCCCTCCCTTCATTCCCAGTGGAGGGCGGAAGTCCGGAGATTTCCACCTCAACAAAAAAAGGAAAACCACCAGCAATGGTGGAAGCCGTTTCATGAATACGTTTCAGATTATGTTACCAAACATCATAGACTTATTTTCGTGCCACTGATGGATCATTAAGACATTTTATACTATCAATTCAATTTTCGACCACAACGGAATCTACTATCACACAACACGATGGGAGAAAAATATAGTACCTACATTATATAATTTCAGACGGAGATCCGCGGTGCATTGGGGACGGTACTCCAGACGTGCAGTTCCGTGGGGATATTAATAATGTTCTGCATAGGCTCAATTGGATCATATATGACTGTTAATATTATAATTTTATCGATCACACTTATATGCGCAATACCGATGTTGTTTATCCAAGAATCACCATTCACTTTGTTTACTAAAGGTAGGTATTTATTGATTTATAAAGCTTTTGTAAAAAGTGGACGAGTTCAAGTATCACAGGTATCAACTTTGTGGTGTTTACTGATGGTAAGACCTCTTATGAGTCCGCACGGGTAGGTACCACCGCCCTGCCTATTTAAGCAGTGAAGCAGTAATGCGTTTCGGTTTGAAGGGTGGGGCAGCCGTGGCTATGGGCTCTGGTAAACACTTAACGCTAAGCAGGCTGTGAGCTCGTCCACCCATCTATGTAATAAAAAAATAACAATTAAACTTGGTGGTGACCAAACCTCCAAAAATCGTAATTTAGGTACGTAATTACTGATGGTGGGGCATGTTGTCGGGTATGTACTGTCATCCTGCCTATTTCTACCCTGAAGCCGTAATTCGTTTCGATTTGAATGGTCGGGCAGCCGTTGTACAGTAAGACGGAGTCATACAATCCATGTCCCAAGAACAGTCCTGAACTCTAAATGGGTCGTGAGCTCATCCACCCATCTAAGCCATAAAAAAATGCTTAAGTCGGCTGGCCATATACGAGAAAATTTCTAACATTTTTAATCACGTTCATATTACTTAATAAGTGTGAATAAAACAGTGCCTAACTTCTTAGAACTTATAGGACTTAAATCCTCAATCCAAATTAAAACAAGTGATAATCGAAAAAACCTGTACCCCATCCTATAAGGTCATTGTAGTTAAACTGAAATGTGTGCATCTGTAGCATGCAACATTCGGTTGCGCTCGGGCGTCATCGGTCGCGATCGGAGTTCCCGAACGCGCAGGTGTCCCGTGACGTCACACTGCGAGATTCGCGCGCGTCGATTTAAGTTGATTGTAAAACGTATTATAATTTTAGTTTTAATTTGTTCATTGTAGTGCCTAGCGACTTGTTTACTCTTTTTACTTTACAATAGAACATTGTACACATATTACATTATATATATTGTTTAATTGGTGTGTTTGACTTTTATGTGTTCGGAGCATAATATCCCGAGAATACAAATAACAAACCACACATCAATACGGAGCACGGACTAAAAAGAAACGATGAACAGTAACTTTAGTGACAGATTATTATCGAGTCTACTTACTGTACTGTACTGTAACTATACTGTAACTATAATTGAGACCTTAGAACTTATATCTCAAAATGGGTGGCGCATTCACGTTGTAGATGTCTATGGGCTCCAGTAACCACTTAACACCGGGTGGGCTGTGAGCTCGTCCACTCAACTAAGCAATAAAAAAATCATAATAGAATTTGAGAAAAAAGAATACGATGATTTGAAATTAACTAAAAGAAAAAGAGTGTCGTTTGAGACCACGCAAAAACAGATCTTAGCTGGATGAAAACAAGGACCACGTTCTAATTTGGGTCTACTTTTCAACATTACCCAACACGTTTCAGACCTATGCGTAATTGCCTGTAATATGCGGCGGTAGCTATCTATGATACAACACAAGATATATGACGGCTGCCTGAATCTCGCTAACGACATTTTCAAGACAGATTTGCATACAAGTTCCGAACAATAACATTTAGGACTATCAGTCTACTGAACAATTGCAGCAGCTCAAGCTCTCAATGAAGATCTTCCATTTCTCGTTGCTTACCTCCCAAAAATTAATAATTTTTTTTTGTTTTAAAAACCCACCAATATATTATACTTGATTGATTTTACTGGTGGTAGGTCTAATCGTAATCCCACACACTCGCTCGTCCACTCATCTAAGAAATAAAAAAAAAAAAAAAAAAAAAAAAAAAAATTGGCTACGCGTATTTTACCAATGGATATTTCCATGGAAAATTATGAGCGACCGAGTCCGTTTCGCAACTGAATAATTCTCGTGTCATGTGGCAATCATAATAGACTGATGCTAATGACGTTTCCAATTTCCGTTTCGAATTTCACATTGAACGTTTAGTTATAAAACGTCAATGATTTTTGGAATTCAAACGAGTAGGTACTTTGCAATTTAATAACGCTTTTGTCTCGAATAAATTATGAATAATTTACAAGGCCCATTAAGTATGTACCTACCTACGCGCGACATTTTAAATATAATTCATAGCTTTGACGGGTTTCTAGAACGATAAGGTTATCTGTTAATTAATTTATTGATTTTTTAGAGGTTTTGCAGCGCCATTGTAAATTAGAAGTAACAGGCTTTATAAATAACTAGCTGACCCGGCAGACTTCGTAGCGCCTCAATCGATAAATAAAAGACCTAAACTTTTGTATAAAATAAACTTAAAACAAACCAAAGGAATCCGTCCGACGGGGGACACATCAAAGGAAAAACAAAATTGTTATTTTTATTTAATTCCGAGTATTTTCATATTGATCTACCTTTTAAACTTGCTCTGGACTTCCAAAAATAATTCAAGACCAAAATTAGCCAAATCGGTCCAACCGTTCTCGAGTTTTAGCGAGACTAACGAACAGCAATTCATTTTTATATTATACTAGCTGACCCGGCAAACGTTGTGTTGCCTTAAATAAGATATCTAGGGAAATTCTACTGTAGAAAAAAAAACCTCATTTAACCACATAATACCTCATTATCTAATATATAAAATTCTCGTGTCACAATGTTCGTTCCCATACTCCTCCGAAACGGCTCGACCGATTTTCGTGAATCTTAGCGTGCATATCGGTCATAATTGATAATCGAACAACATCTATTTTTCATCCCCCTAAATGTTAAGGGTGGTCCACCCCTAAATTTGATTTGTTATTTTTTAGACAAAAATTTTTGTTTTTATTTTTTTATGATACAGCCTTAAGAAGATACAGCATACAAAAATACATACAGCCCTAAATTTTCACCCCTCTACGATCAACCCTTATTTTTTATTTGCTAATTAAAAACTTTAANCGCTCGGGAAACACCGTGGAGGGGAGCTCATTCCATAGCCGGATGGTACGTGGCAAAAAAGATCTCTGGAAACGCACTGTGGATGACCGCAGTGGCTCCAGGTAGTATGGATGAACTCTACTCCGGTGGCGGGCGGTGCGATGGTAAAAACGAGATGCCGGTATCATCTCGAACAATTCCTCAGAGCACTCCCCATGGAGCATACGGTACAAAATACAGAGGGAACCGAAGTCCCTCCGCAGACCCAGAGGTTCCAAACGATCCGTGAGAATGAGATTAGCGACAATCCGAACGGCCCTCCTCTGTATGGAGTCAAATGGAAGAAGCTGGTATTTGGGAGCCCCGGCCCAGAGATGGGAGCAGTACTCCACGCGAGGCCGGACTTGTGCTTTATAAAGCAAAAGCCTTTGTCCAAAAGCCTTTGTTCTTTTGTAATAACATAATGCTATCATTTTCTTTCCAAGTCTAAGTTTCCTTGATTTACGGTTCATAATAATGTCAAAATTTCTCTGTGAATCAACTTTTTACGACCAAAAGATCTTCCATCAGACCTTTTTTTTTTATATCTTTTCGCATTATCCATAATTTTCTTCCAGGTTAGTTTAGCAGTATTTTTCAAATTAAAAGATGACAATGTTGAAATCAAAGGAATATTCAATTACGTCCCACTTTTGTCATTGGCCCTTGTTGTATTCTGCTACAGTGCTGGTAATATTACATTACATTTTTAATAGAACTATTGCGATTTTTTGCTACCTTGTATTCAATTAATTACTTGCTATTGAGTAATGAAGCATTTTAGTGTGGTAAAAATTTCCAATTTATTACAATTAAGTCCAAGAACTTCGAAGATGGAGAGAAATGAGAAATCTTAGGCGTCTCAACCCGGTAGCTAGTTCTGGATCGCCACTATTATTGATGATGAGCATTGAAGTTTCCCAGAATCATCACCTTGGTGACGCAGGGCACGCGATGTAAATAATATTTTGGGTTACTTTTTTACACCTTGAATTATATTATAATATTTTTCAAAAAAGATTATAGCTTATGTCACTCGGGAGTAGTGTAGCTTCCAAACAATAAAATAATTTTTTATATCGGTTCAGTAGTTTCGGACCCTATTCAATACAAACAAACAAAAAATTCCTTTCCTGTTTATAATATTAGTATAGAAGTATAGATTAATAATAATATAGTTCATTGTAATATTACAGGGTATGGATCGATCTACTTCATGATAATATCAGAGATTTTTGAGGGACCAACTCGAGCTGTGGGCGTCTCCGCGGGGATCCAAGTTAACAGTATATTCTTCTTCCTCAACACAAAATTCTTCATCAGTTTGGTCTCCTTGCTAGGAGCTAGCGCAGTTTTTGCGATACTAAGCGTTAATTGCGCAATCGGATGTCTGTACGTTTTCTTTTTTGTGCCAGAAACCAAAGGGAAGAGCTTTAGTGAGATTCAAAATACGCTAGGATTTAAAAATAATTTTGCAGCCGAATGATGTTTATAATAATAATAATAATAAAAAAAACCATGGAAACCGTCTACAACAACAGACGTGTCAAAAATTGCAAAATTCAAATTTATTTAATTTTACCTAAATTTTTACAAATATTTATAGAAAAAATACAAATAATTAAATTTTAAAAATGATAAAAACAAAAAGAGAAAGTGTAAAGTTGGATGCAAAAACGAAAATAAAGAATTTAAAGAAAACTGCAATGTGACACGTCCATGTCGACGACAACTGCATTAAGGAAAAATCCAAGTCGACAGTGTAGACAGGTGACCTGTGGCGCACGAAGAACATCACCATGTATTCCGTCGTGTTCGTCGGATGGCTCTCCAAGTCCGACGAGAATTGAAAATTTATCCAGCGACGAAACACAGCCGTCCCCTGCGCCGCCAAGACCTGTGCGCCGGGGCCGCCCACCATTGGCACGCTTGGGATCAACGAGGCGAAATGCCCCGTCTACGGTCCCCGCTACCAGTGGTGTAGTGCGCTCTCGCATGCGTTGGAACGAAAATATAAATATGAATGTCATGCGAGCGTACTATGAGGCTACGGAGGGAGAAACCAACCTTTCTGCGTATCGCTCAAAAATGTTCTCTGTGTTTCAGACATTGTGCCCGACCGTGAATGTTTCGACACAACGACTGTCAGATCAGGTGAGGGCTATCCAGCGGCTTAGGCTGTTGGACCAGTCTCTTCTTGATCGACTACGCTACGAAGCGCTACCTGTTCCCATCGAACCACAAGAAAACCAAGTGGTAACTGACACCGTCGCCCCAATAATACAACACGATGAGGAAATTCAAGAACAGGTTTGTGCAANATGGTCATGTTACGCTCTACTGGGACCGATCTATTATCACGGATAGGTATATTGTTGCCAATAAACCTGATATTGTGATAATAGATCGATCTGCGCGTCGAGCAGTGTTGGTTGATGTCACCATTCCTCATGACGAGAACCTCGTGAAGGCAGAAAAGGACAAATTAATAAAATATTTAGACCTGGCCCACGAGACTACCGCCATGTGGCATGTTGATTCAACCATCATTGTTCCAATAGTTGTGTCGGTACACGGCTTGATAGCGAAAAGTTTCGATCAACATCTTAAGAAACTTTCGTTATCCAGCTGGGTTAAGGGCCTAATACAGAAAGCAGTTATCCTCGATACTGCACGCATTGTGAGGAGGTTTCTCACTCTGGAGTCCTAACCACTGGTGGCTTGTGTCGTAGACACCGCCATCAGCGGCAATCTATTTTTATATAGTGTTTTTTAAAAATTGTATTTTTAATATATTTTTTAAAAAATATTATGTAATTAATAAGATTTTAAATAAATATAAATAAATAATAATAATAATAAATATTTACTAACAATCACGCCACGTTAACTGGTCCCGTGATAAGTTCGTAAAGAACTTGTGTTACAGGTACCAGGTAACGGAAATAAATGTAAGATTTTTATTATACACATACATATATTTAATAAACATCCGTAACCCTAGAAAAGACATTCATATTTATCATACAAATATCTTCCCTTGGCGGGATTCGAACCCGCGACCCCCTTGTGTAGTGACCATGTCACTTACCACTACACCAGACGGCCGTTTAAAATCAAAGTGCAAATAAATAAATAAAATAGATTACCGAGGGGTGAAAAGCTATTTGGATTTAAGCGATATTTCGCTTAATACGCGAAATGTATCTTTGTAATTAACGGTGCGTTTTATTTGGTACTAGCGACCCGCCCTCGCTTCGCTTCGGAAACATTAAATTTTACAATTGATAGGCGAAGCCCGCCATGTTGCGCGCGGTACGACAATAACGGTGACGCCGCGGGCGAAGCTAATCTAAAAAAAGTAGCCTAAGTTACTTCTTATATCATCAGCTACCTATCAGTGAAAGTCCCGGTCCAGCCGTTCCAGAGATTAGCCGGAACAAACAGGCAGACAGACAAAAATTGTAAAAAATGTTATTTTGGTGTATGTACCGTGTATATAATTATTCATATGCATGTAATAAAAATAGGTTATTTCAATACTACAAACAGACACTCTAATTTTATTTATATGTATAGATTATAATCAACAATTCGACGTTTTTAATTGAACTTCAGTTACGTTTACATCATTCAAATAGTTGGTCAAGTTTTTTTGTTTGTTTAGTATATTTTTTCCAAATTTTAAACATTAAATGGCTCTTCTGTAAAGTTGAAAAATTTTCGCTTGAATCAAATAGCCTTTCATCTATCATCTATCTATAATATATAAAAATGAATTGCTGTTCGTTAGTCTCGCTAAAACTCGAGAACGGCTAGACCGATTTGGCTAATTTTGGTCTTGAATAATTATTTATGGAAGTCCAGAGAAGGTTTAAAAGGTAGATAAATATGAAAATGCTCGGAATTAAATAAAAAATAATTTTGTTTTTCCTTTGACGTGCCCCCCGTCGGACGGATTCCTTTTGTTTGTTTTAAGTTTATTTTATACAAAAGTTTACGTCTTTTATTTATCGATTGAGGCACTACGAAGTCTGCCGGGTCAGCTAGTCTCTCCATATATATTTACATAGCATCGTATAGTAAGGAATAAATTGCGTTTGAATAATTTTTATTTAATTTTAGATTTATTACGTTTGATTAACTAATGTTTATATACTTTATTTAAGATGGTAAGGATAAATAATGTTCTTTAACAGATTTCTTGAACGCTGCTATGGTTTTGCACGCTCGTATGCTTGGAGGGAGGGAATTCCAAAGTACAACTGCTTGTACAGAAAATGATTTTGCGTAAGCATTTGTTTTGTGAACAGGGCATTTGAGGAGAATTTTAATGTGTGTTCTACAAGGAGCAAGGGAGGGACGGGCATAGGTAAAGCGATCACGTAAATATTGTGGGTAGTTAGGATTATGTAGGATATTAAATAGGAAGCACAACATTCTAGTATTTCTGCGGAAACGGACTGGGAGCCACTTGAGCTTTTTGCGAAATTCAGAAATATGATCATATTTTTTGAGACCAAAAATAATTGAGAAGCTCCTCAGTGGCATCCAAGTAGCAAGCATCAGCGTAGTCCAAAATGGGTAAAATGAGACTTTGGGCAAGAGAAATTTTAGTTTCCAAAGGCAAAAAATATTGGAGACATTTGAGTGAATGGAATGCAAAGTTAACTTTGCTGCTAACATTGTTAACCTGCTCATTCCAGCTTAAGAAAGAGTTAAAGGTAACGCCAAGGTTTTTAACAGTTTCACTAAAGACAATTGGTTGGCCATTCAATATGAGAGATCCAATTGCAGAATGATTTAATGCACGAATAGCATATCTACTACCAATTATGATGGCCTGTGTTTTGTTGGCATTGAGTAAGAGTCCATGAGACGTTGCCCATTCATGAATGTTTTCCAAATCACAATTAACATCCTTGACTGCTCTATCAATTTCACTAGGTGCGCAGTGATGGTAAATTTGCAAATCATCTGCATAAAGATGAAAATTTGAGGATATCAAAGTAGTGACTGTGTTAATAAACACTGAGAAAAGAAGAGGAGAGAGAACACCACCCTGAGGCACGCCAGCATCAACAGCAACCCAGTCTGAGAAGGATTCATTTTGACGTGTGCGTTGTGAACGGCCCCGAAGATATGAATCAAACCACCTTAGGGCAGAAGTAGTAATGTTATGGGATCGAAGAATACCGAGCAGGATATCGAGATCCACGCAGTTGAATGCGTTACTGAAGTCAAGTAGTACAAGAATGGTTAGGGATTGGTTTTCAATTGCCCATCGAATGTCATCTGTCACTTTCAGCAACGCAGACACCGTGCTGTGTCCCGATCGGAAACCTGATTGAAAGTTGCTAAGAATATTATTGGAGAGGAGGAAATTTTGTAGTTGCTTGTGAACAATGTGCTCCAACACTTTCGAGAGAAAAGGAAGTATGGAGATAGGACGATAATGTGACAAAGACGAAGGATTGCTGGTTTTAGGTAAAGGGATAATATTAGCGGATTTCCAGGATTTAGGAAAGGATCCAGATTGTAAGGAATGGTTAATTATGTTCGTTAAACAAGGAAGTAGTATATCAAGAATGGGGATAAGCATTTTAGAGCACAAGTTGTCACTACCTACAGCATGGGAAGAAATAGATAAAATAGCTTTACGAACATCATTGGTCGATACTGACTGAAACTTAAAGGAAGAATGTTTAGGCAAAGGGAGATTAAGTAGCGTTTGCAAAGTTCTCGATTTAATTGAAGCTGCTTGCTGTGCTGTTTTTTTACTGTATTTTTTTAAATAAATTTATACATCACGTGGTTTTACGGTTACGGTTACAGCCTCAGAAAAGGTCTGGCTTGGTTACATAACATCAAAATGCGACAGATGAGCGCGAGTAAATCAACAACAACAACAACAAAATGAAATGTAGGTAACCAACCTTACACGAATTTGGTATTTATTGATCGCAATGAAGTTGCCAATAGAAAATTAAATCTCGTTCTTAGTAAATTAAGACTTTTGACGTCAATAACAGGCGTAACAAACGTTCGAACAGGTATAAAAATATGACAATTTTAAATAGCATGGAAAACGAAAAATAAGTTATATAAGAATTGTATTTTAATGATGTCACAATTAACACAGGCACTGGGTAAACTTACACACATTATTTCATAATTTCACATATTATTTAAATAACTTATAACATTCGATAAATACTCAAATGCACCCACAATAACAATAATTGACATTTCATTTAACAAGTGTATTTTAATTAAGATATGACGTCAGGATTCTGTTAAACAAACTCGCGCTGTCGCGGTCAGTGATCAGCGTGCTTAGTGTGAGTTTTTTAACGTTCTCGATAGCGTAAAAGTTAACCCAAATTTGTATGGAGTTGGAAAGTTTGGCTACGTTTGCCGCTAGGGGCGCTGTTCTAGCTGTATACAAATTTGGATCAGTTTTTACGCTATCGAGAACATTAGAAAACTCGCACTAAGCACACGCCGCTGTGCTAAAAGCGTTCGAGAAGAAAGGGCTATTGGCGTTTTTTTACGAGATCCGAGCCTAATTTTCGACATACACTAAAAGTACTAAGGCCGTATCAAAGATTTTCTTTTCCCTCGTTTGGTGAAAAATTATTTAATTGGAACGAAGTTCCTTATCGCGCGTTATGAAAGGGCTAGACGGAAAAAATTCTTACGAAAAGCTGTCACGACACTTTTTAGATCCGTCATTCTGACCAATCAACGTGTAGGCGCTTATCGCGTGACATTGCTCGTATCCGATTGGTCCGCGTAATGAGTACAGTTTCTCGAGATAGCGTTTCAACAATAGTAATTTAGTTCATAGTATTGTTTTTTTCTTCTTCATAATGCCGTAATTTATTATTATAACTTAAAAAAAATAATTACAATTNTGTCACGACACTTTTTAGATCCGTCATTCTGACCAATCAACGTGTAGGCGCTTATCGCGTGACATTGCTCGTATCCGATTGGTCCGCGTAATGAGTACAGTTTCTCGAGATAGCGTTTCAACAATAGTAATTTAGTTCATAGTATTGTTTTTTTCTTCTTCATAATGCCGTAATTTATTATTATAACTTAAAAAAAATAATTACAATTCCTTCACTAATTAATCGAAAGGAACTTCGTTCCATTCGGGTGTCCCTTGACACCTCTGAAGTTTTTTTATTTTAATTATGTTTTGACCGATCGATGCCACCGCCTCCCTGCTGTAAATTGATTATCGAAGTACATAAACAATACTACATAGCCCTCCTCGAGACAAGAGCTCGAAGTCTCAATCATATAGTACAACGGCTGACCCGCCATTCAAGCCTTGATTGGTACCTGCGTGTGTGGGATTACGATTAGTCCTACCACCAGAAAAATCAATCAGGTATAACATATTGTTGCATTTTTAAAACAACAAAAAAAACATATTTTTGGGAGTTAAGGAACGGCAAATGGAAGATCTTCGTTGGGAAGTTCAGCGGATCGAATTGCTCAGTATACTGACGGTTCTAAATGTTATCGTTCGGAACTTGTATATATGCAAATCTGTCTTGAAAATGTCGTTAGCGAGATTCAGGCAGCCGTCACATATCTTGTGTTGTATCATGGCTATCGCCACATATTAACGGCAATTACGCATAGGTCTCAAACGTGTTTTACGCATAGGTCTTGGGTAATGTTAAAAAGTAGACCCAAATTAGAACGTGGTCCTTGTTTTCATCCAGCTAAGATCTGTTTTTGCGTGGTCTCAAACGACACTCTTTTCTTTTTGTTAATTTCAAATCATCGTATTCTATTTTCTCAAATTCATTTTTTTTAATACTTAGATGGATGGACGAGCTCACAGCCCACCTGGTGTTAAGTGGTTACTGGAGCCCATGGATATCTACAAGGTAAATGCGCCACCCACCTTTAGATATAAGTTCTAAGGTCTCAGTATAGTTACAACGGCTGCCCCACCCTTCAAACCGAAATGCATTACTGCTTCACGGCAGAAATAGGCAGGGCGGTGTTACCTACCTGTGCGGACTCACAAGAAGTCCTAGCACCAGTAATTTTTAAACTAATAAATTCAATTACTTATCCTTATTTATTTTTAGCGATAAATCAGTAAGGCGAGTTCAAATGGAATTTACTACAAACTGCCTCATTCATATACAACACCAACATAAAAACAATGTACTAATTCTTAACTACGGCAAAAATTGGCCGTCTCCGATTTCCCTTTTCCCCTTAACACACTCTGGATCTCAGCAAAACTCTTCCCCTTCGTCTCTGGTACGTAAAACAACACGAAAGCGCAAAGCAGGAACGAATTGAAACTAAACAACCAGTAGGTTTCCGCTGATCCTATGACCGAGGTGAGCTGAGCGAAGTATTTGGTTGTCAAGAACACGCATATCGAGGAGAAGAGCGAGGAGATGCCGATGCCGATTCCTCGAGAGGAGTCTTCGAAGAGTTCGGCTGACAGCACCCACACCAGAGAACCGAGGCCTGGAATCAAATTAATTAATTAATAGCCTTTCCAGCAGGCAATTGGAAGGAAAAAAAACGTGTGACACTCGGGAACTGCCGCGGTAAAGCTATTGCATAGCATTTTTTATCAACTTATGCAATTATAATTAGACAATGATAATTTAATATTTAAAAAATAATAAAACAAGACCACGCTATATTAAACATTAGTAAAAGCAAAACAATAACTGTCCCTTCACACTCATAAGCTAGGCCGCGCGAGAGAGAGATGGGCAGACTTTTCATGATGCGCATGCAGTGTGACGTCACGCCACGCGCTTATTCACAAACACTACAAAAGAGCAGCGTGTGAATGTGTTGGACGCGAGCTACATGGTAGGCGGAGTGAGGGGTGTTAGGTTTCTTTCGTTACGGAATTTCATGATTCGGTCGCCGCGCTCAAGGCCCGCGATAAAAGATAAGCAATAGCTTAAAAATGTAATGATATAAAATGTATGTAACATAATGATATTTATGTGTTAGATTTTTAAGTTTAAATGTTATGGTTTTTAAAAAAAAACAGAAATAAAGTATAAATAAAAATAAAATAAAATAAAAATATTAATTGGACGTAACTAAATAGGATTTGTATGTAAAGTGATCTTTAATAATACGGTGCCGATGGCCGGTCTACTTTTGCCATGAAACGATTTACGAATGAGGGAAAGAACGAAAGAAAGAAATCATTTATTCGCTAAGCAAGGTGAAAAGCAGCGTGTAACTATACTTGAGAGCTTAGAACTTATATCTCAAGCTGGGTGGCGCATTTACGTCGTAGATGTCTATGGACTCCAGTAAGCACTTAACACCAGGTGGGCTGTGAGCTCGTCCACCCACCTAAGTAATAAAAAAAAAAAAAAAAAAAAATTGTCATTATTTGACATGCGAATTTTAGTGCAGTGCAAGATATTATGATATTATATAATTTACCTTTCATTCATCCATAATTCGAACAATAATTTTAAAAAATCCATTTATTTTGAATGTCGTCCCTAAGAGAATCATTTATGTGAAAATAATTTTCACTAAAAAGATTATCTTTATTTTTTTATTGCTTAGATGGGTGGACGAGCTCACAGCCCACCTGGTGTTAAGAGGTTAATCGAGCCCATAGATATCCCCAACGTAAATGCGCCACCCACCTTGAGATATAAGTTCTAAGGTCTCAGTATAGTTACAGCGACTGCCCCACCTTTCAAACCGAAACGCATTACTGCTGCACGGCAGAAATAGGCGGAAATCTTTTTTCTGGATTTGAAAGACGTTATGACAGTAATTCAAATTCAAATACATTTTAACAAAAAGTGTATGTAGAGTAAATTTCAGTAATCGCAAAATGTCAAGTGGGTCGCATAGATATATATAAATTGCAAATTTGAAAGTCTTATTTCCCAAAATTGATCACATAAGTACCGTTAGCAAAACTAAAAAGAAATTATCTTGTTAGCCAACTCGAATTTAAATTGAACTTGACATTCCGATGCCATGTCTGAAACTTAATGTGTCCACTTGAATTTTCTTTTTGGTTCGATGGAGACTTACAATACTCGTAGTTCATAACAGTCGAAGTTTGAAGTTGTCGTGGCCTAAAGGATAAGACGTCCGGTGCATTCGTATGTAGCGATGCACCGGTGTTCGAATCCCGCAGGCGGGTACCAATTTTTCTAATGAAATACGTACTCAACAAATGTTCACGATTGACTCCCACGGTGAAGGAATAACATCGTGTAATAAAAACCAAACCCGCAAAATTATAATTTGCGTAATCACTGGTGGTAGGACCTTTTGGGAGTCCGCACGGGTAGGTACCACCACCCCGCCTATTTCCGCCGTGAAGCAGTAATGCGTTTCGATTCGAAGGGTGGGGTAGCTGTTGTAACTATACCGAGACCTTAGAACTTATATCCCGAGGTGGGTGGCGCATTTACGTTGTAAATGTCTATGGGCTCCAGTAACCATTTAACACCAGGTGGGCTGTGAGCTCGTCCATCGATCTAAGCAAAAAAAAAAAAAGTAATAATAATAAAATAAATAATAAATATTTACTAACAATCACGCCACGTTAACTGGTCCCGTGATAAATTCGTAAAGATTTTGTGTTACAGGTACCAGATAACGGAAAAATAAATGTAAGATTTTTATTATACACATACATATATTTAATATACATCCATAACCCTTGAAAATACATTTATATTTATCATACAAATATCTTCCCTTGGCGGGATTCGAACCCGCGACCCTTTTTGTGTAGTCACCTTGTCACTTACCACTACACCAGACGGCCGTCTGTAACAGTATTACAGACATTCGTGTAACTTTAAAACAGAATTACGTTATCATCAGACTCGTTTGAATTTTTAGCAACCTTAGTACATCCAAGAAGACATTTATTCTAGACTTTTCTCGGTGTAACAAATACATTACAGCATATATTTTCTTTTGTTATTGACGACGCATTATAATGTTAAAAGTTCATGTGTCCCTCGTAATAAAGTAGGAAATACTTTGGCAAAGCATATTGCGGGCTCGAATTGCTTAGGAGCTTGCGGCTCAGTACCAAAAATCCTGCCTATTTCTACCGCGAAGCTATCATCCGTTCCGGTTTCAAGGATGTATCAGCCTATGAGGAATCCAATTGAGACTTCGTCGCCATGTGTCCAGTCCTCTGACCTCAATCACTGATCCGCGTGCGTAACATTCTGTGTTGACACGTAATTAAATTCTCACGCACATGTCTCCAGAAATATAACAGTCCTACGACAATCCGATGTGACATGTTACTTTCCTATCATTCTAAGATGTAAAGAAAAGTATTAATAATAGTACAATAAACATACCAGCACTGTACCCGATTACTACAAGTATAACCGAAGCTATGGGAAGAAAATTCAGTAGTCCACTGATGGCGATAGTTTCTTTTAATTTGAAAAATATTCCGAGCCCCATCTGTGAGAAATAAAAAAAATTACAAAAGGCACACGCAATACAAGGTACACGCGATAGAACCAATGCGACTTCATAAAAAACAGATTTCTCAGTGGGTCGCGTTTCCGATTCGGTGGTAGACTTAGCTAAGCGCTCCCCTTGCTATAGGAGATGTGAGCAGTCTCCAAGGCTGAGCTCCGTGAGCTGGTCTACACGCTTAGTAACGTTAGCGAGCTTACTCTAGGTTGGCAAAAGAATAACAACAAAGATTGAGGAACAGAGATGTATTAATTCATTATGGTCTAAAAGATAAAACTCGAAAAATACCCCGCGATAAATATTACACATCGATCTTTGGAATAAGACAATCAGCTAAATTCGAATGTGTTATCTTTTTTTTTTAAAGAATGATTACTGGTGGCCCAGATGCCTTTCTAGTTTCACCAGGGCAGGTGGGCGAGCAAAGTCAGGAGGGGTAGGATTTGCTAACAGCTGCCCGAGCACTTCCCAAGGCGACCTAATAACTCAAGAGCAGCTGCTTCGCGAATGAATCTACTTCTTCTTCTTCTATATGTGACGTTCCTCCACAGTGTTCGATCATGGGTGGCATGGACCATATGGTACAGACTACCACCAAGTGCTTCTCTTACTAGATCTGATCATCTGGTTAGTTTCTGTCCACGGCGCGCTCGGAGTTGCGACCCGCCGAGAAGATCCGACGAGAAACTCAGCGAGCTGATGCATGGGTTAGTTTGTCGAGTTCGACGAGTACGGTTACCGGGGTTCCTCAGCCTGCTCCTAGTGTTAGAGCTGAACCCATCTAATGCAAAGGTTATTGGATCTGATGGATCCGTAAGGACGTGTTAACGCTATCTCTGTCACACACTACCTAATATGTGACGTTTGTCATACAGTTACGTATTTCAACTACACACTGCACGATTCTTAGTCGGTCATTCGTCATGGAAATCGGTCGTGAACACTCTTGCAAAACATTTATAAAACTTATGCATTGATAAAGCATGAACTACGCATTACTTTAAAGAGTACTACGCTCTATATTGTAATGACTAAGTTACCTAATATTTATGTTTTCATAGTCTGCATTGTAATGACTAATTTAGTATACATAATATTTATGTTTTCATAATACGATTAGGTCACACCTGTTGTAATATTAAATATTATAAACGAAAAAGCTGTTTACCGTCGTAAACTGAATAAGCGGGCCCGACTAATGAGTAAAGTACAGACGAATCAATATTTATATATAATTAAACAAGTCAATTCAAGTTTAAAACAAAAAAAAAACAGCAACGCACATCAGGAACCAGCAAAGGGAATGCCCATTTCAGGCCCAAAGCGGACAATAGATTAGAGAAAAAATAATTAGTGCATTATATAAATAAATATGCATTTACTTTCTTCCAAATGAGCGCCACAACAGTTTACAATAACGTAGTTTAAAAAAAGTAACTCTATTGAAAAAACAATAATTGAAATTAATAAATTAAACATTAAGAAAAGAAAAGTTCTTTAAGTATCTCACAATCCGATACTTATTTAAATAGAAAATTAAGCTCAAAACGAATTTTTATTTTTATTTAATTTTTATAATGGTGGCGTCAATTACAATATATTTTTTAGATATCCAATACATTTAAGAATTTGAAACAGTCTATTTTTATAGTAATATTTGTTGTCCTTCTTGGGCCCAGCACACTATGGGATATGGAGAGTGGGCATTCCCCTTTTAGAATTATGTTTCTTTTGTACGCTTGTTTGATTGTTCGTGCCCACCTCCGGAACTACTTAAAAGATTTTTACCAGCTCGATGAATCTAGAATAATCCCTCGAGCTTACAAAAATAGGTAGGAAAAAAAAGAGATTACTTTAGAACGAAAAATAGTTTTTTTATCTATTCATAATTGCTTCATTAAATTTAAATGTTGCAAAGAAATTGAGTTATTTTCATTCAGACATTTCAAGAATGACTTTTTTATACTACTGTTCAATGTTAAAAATAAAGTTTCGCTCGGCCTCTGACTTTGTGTTCCTTCGGTTGGCTCTTCGAGCACATGCAAACGATTTTATGTAAATAGCAATACGATATTTAACAAGTCCTTCAGCGAACATTTGCCTATTTCTGCCGTGAAGCAGTAATGCGTTTCGGTTTCAAGAGTAGGGCAGCCGTTGTAACTATACTGAGACCTTAGAACTCATATCTGAAGGTGGGTGGCGGTATTTACGTTGTAGATGTCTATGGGCTCCACTTAATATCAGGTGGGCCGTGAGTTCGTCCACCCATCTAAGTAATAAATAAATAAAACAGAACAAAAGCCTAAAATAATTATACAGCTTTCTTACCAGTCCAAAGACCATGGCCGCTAGAGTAGTTGTTAGTATGGGCTTCCTCCCGAATTTATCCGTCACTAAAGTGGTGCAGAGACTCGAAAGTAATTGTATAATGCCCGTTATTACAGAGGCTAGTTCCGGCTGGACGCTCGTATGAGTCGATTCCAATATTGTCTGAAGATAAAACGATATTGAGTTGAAACTGTAACAAAAACATTACGGACATCATGCCACCGTTATGAGTCACTCGATACAACGACTATTCACTTCTTTGATTTTGAAGTGAAACTTCTTTAGGTGCATGAGGGTAAAATTTTTACAGATGTAACGTCACGCATGTATGCAACGGAAGTATCGAAAAAGAGAGAGAGAGAGCGAACGTCGTATCACGCACAGTGCCATGGAGCGAGAGGTGGGAGATCTATAGTGAGAAAGATTGAACGAGAGAGAGAGAATAAGGGATATCAAGAAATAATACATGCTATTTTGGTTTGTTTATTCGCTTACTAGTTAATTATTTTTAAAACAGCGCCGTCTATGGGATTTTTTAATACTAAGGTGTGTATGAAACCTCTTGTAGGGAATTTTAATTTAGGATTATACGTGAAGTTAAAATATCAATTCACAGAGGGCGCTACCTCATACTAAAAAAGATGATTTACAGTTATTTACTAATGACAATATTTTACATATATGTACTTAGACGTTTAGGATAATTGTATTTTAATTTTTGAAGGTTTCACTTCTACCACGTGTGGATTGCACACATGTCATTATTTTAGAATCATGAATTAATCATCATTCAATGATTTAGATAAATAATCGGAGATTCAATATTTTCATCATTTGATAGTGGATATCTAAAAATCAAAGGTTTTAGTGTAAATGGAGTAAATAAACCAAAAACGGATGAGGTTGGTAAATGAAACATCAAAAGAAGAAACAGATATGACCCTTCTTAAGACCCGTTGCAGTGGATATACTACTGGAGATATAACCTGAGGAATGTTAATATGAGGCAGAAAAACGGTGTTAAAACTCATGCAAAGTCCCTATGTAGCATGATAAGAGGATATACCGCGCCGACCCCATATAATGGGGGATACAGGTAAGAAGATGAAGACTAATAAAGGTGTATGTATGTATTTTTTTTTTTTATTGCGCTTGTAGGCAGATGAGCATACGGCTCACCTGATGGCGACTGGTTACCGTCGCCCATGGACTTCAGCAATGCCAGGGGCAGAGCCAAACCGCTGCCTACCGCTTAATACTCTCCGCGAGCCTCGTTTGAAGAAGGACATGTCATAGCGCTCGGGAAACACCGTGGAGGGGAGCTCATTCCAAAGCCGGATGGTACATGGCAAAAAAGACCTCTGGAAACGCACTGTGGATGACCGCAGTGGCTCCAGGTAGTATGTAATATATTTATTCATTAAAAGTTTCACTTTCATTTAAATCATGCCCCTCAAAACTGCTTACGCAGTTTGACTGCAAGTAACTCGCTTTATATAAACATGGCTTATAAATTATTAAACTAGGTTATATTAATACAATTAATTTACGTAAACGGTTACAACGTATTTAATAAGTGTTTTTTTAATAACCTTTTAAATTTAGCAAGTATAGGCTCACGTGTGTGACGGTTTGTTATTCCGCATATGTATCTATCTCTACCAAGGCCTTCGCGTAGAAATCAAGTTTGTATGCTATTTAGCCGTCTATACCCATCAACCGTCACGACAACAAGGAAATAATTTAAAATTATCCTATTTCCACAGTGAATATCGTGTAATATAAATCCAATTCTCATTATTTATGAGTTTCTATGATTAGTATTGCTGTTAGTAATTTAGTATTGTATGTTTACAAATAAATACAAAAGCGAAACGTTGTTATATTATTTAACACGATTTTATTAGCTTAGTTCGTACGTTTTTATTCGTATGTAACGGAATCTTTAAACACCATTTTCATTGACTTTAACACGTTCACATGACCTAAAAATTTGCATACCTTTTAAAAATCGACGACAATACAACAAATATATACTTAATATTATAAAGAGGAAAGATTTGTTTGTTTGTTTGTATTGAATAGGCTCCGAAACTACTGAACCGATTTGAAAAATTCTTTCACTGTTTAGAAGCTACACTATTCCCGAGTGACATAGGCTATAAGATTTTTTGAAAAAAAATTAGGGATCCTTAATGAAACTGCAATAATGTAACCCAAGGTGTAAAAAAATTACCTAAAATATTCTTTACATCGCGTGCCCTGCGAAAACTATTGATGATAGAATAAAATAATGAACTACGACTTTGTAGAACACATTATTATAACATTTACAAAAAGTGTCACGACAGCACATGTCTAACTATTATAGTTATGCCGCAATAAGTGTTATTTTATTTAAAAAAATAAAACAACGTCCAATATCGTTGACATTTTTGTTAAGGACCCGAGCGGAGCCGGAGCGGGCCGCTAGTATTTTATAATTTCGCTCTCACGTCCTGACCAGTTTCAAATAAAGAGGATTAAAAAAGGTGGAATTATTCATTGTTACTTCGGTTTGTTTTGTACGCGTATTTTTGTTTTTAGTTTTAAAAACTGCATATTATTATTTTGTTTCCAACTTGTGATAGAGACGCTTAGTAGATTTTATTAAAAAAATAGTTAGCAAAATATCACTGGAAGAAATCGATCAAAATGGTCGAAACTTTCTCAAGTGATGATACTCCCTCTTGCATTTTTGTCATTTTTTTTTATGTAGCATCCACACATACTTATACTTACAAATTACGTAGGTAGGTAAGTATGGTACAAATTTACCTACTTTTTTGGTGAATTAAATGACATTTACACATGGCAAATTAAATATTATTCATTGCAGTCTTTGTAGCGATGCAATGAAAGTATTCGGGCTCCAATCGAAACTGTTCTGGATAAGGTCATGAATTCATTATTGTTCCTAAATTTCGTATTTGTGTCACACATAGTTTTAGTAATAAAATAAACTTACCCAACCAGCTGAGTCCCTCCGGATAGCACCAAAACAATGAACAACGACTTCAAGAAAGTTCTGTTTTTAAACAATTCTCTTTTAGCAACGGTTTGTTTCTCGCAAAGAGAATATTCTTTCAGTTCATCTGAAGCGATTGATTCGGAGCCACGTAAATACGTAAGTACTCTTAGCGCCTCCTGATTTTTACCTAAAAAAGCGGTTTACGTGTGAGCCCAAAACTATACTAAAATCTGTTCCTTGATTAAACATGGTGCATTCGAATCGTTGACGCTACATAGTGGTGGTAGAACCTCATGTGAGTCCGCACGGGTAGGTACCACCACCCCGCCTATTTCTGCCGTGAAGCAGTAATGCGTTTCGGCTTGAAGAGTGGGGCAGCCGTTGTAACTATACTGAGATCTTAGAACTTATGTCTCAAGGTGGGTGGCGCATTTGCGTTGTAAAATGTCTATGGGCTCGAGTAACCACTTAACACCAGGTGAGCTGTGCGCTCGTCCTCCCATCTAAGCAAAAAAAAAGAAGAAAAAAAAGAGTGATGTTAATTCCAGAGACGATAAAACTCAAAAGATTACATTTGCTAACTTAAATTTACCAATAATTTTGCTGGCGCAATGTAAGAGAATCAGAAACAGTAAGGAAGCTCGTGCAGAGGGGGTGGGGGCGTTGGGAGGGGAGATGGGAAAGCGTACGTCTATTCCGGTTTCGCCTTCGTCGGTGGGCGAGCCTTTTTTTTTTTTTTTTCACAGGAGAAAATCGCCGGATTCCCACCCGCACGGCAGGTGGGGTATGTGGGAGTCGAACCTCACCAAAAACTCCTGCCGCTCACAGCCGGCGCCCTACCCCGGACCGGGCGGGAACCCAGTCGGAGCTATTGAGACGGCGGGACAGGGTTTACGCAGAGCATATTACATCCATCCAGTCTTTTCCCCTACCTAATTATTGGTAGTCTAAAGGACTATTTCAACTTCGCGCGGAACGATAGGTTAGCTCACGGAGGTCAACCAGAGAAAATTGCTAACACTAGCCCTAGCAATGCTTCGCTGAATCTACAACCGAAACGG